GGTGGGGAGGTCGAAGAAGAGGGGGCGTTGCTTTCATCGATACACCTCCACGACCCTAACGGGACAAGGTCTCTCTTAATGTTTTCTTTTCAAACCATCTGCCCTCACTCATCCACATCCGCCCTCACTCACCCACATCCACCCTCACTCATCCACCCTCACTCACCCACATCCACCCTCACTCATCCACCCTCACTCATCCACATCCACCCTCACTCATCCACAGCCACTCTCACTCATCCACATCAACTCTCACTCATCCACATCCGCCCTCACTCACCCACATCCACCCTCACTCATCCACCCTCACTCATCCACAGCCACTCTCACTCATCCACATCAACTCTTACTCATCCACATCCGCCCTCACTCATCCACATCCACCCTCACTCACCCACATCCACCCTCACTCATCCACATCCACCCTCACTCATCCACAGCCACTCTCACTCATCCACATCAACTCTCACTCATCCACATCCGCCCTCACTCATCCACATCCACCCTCACTCATCCACATCAACTCTCACTCATCCACATCCGCCCTCACTCATCCACATCCGCCCTCACTCACCCACATCCACCCTCACTCACCCACATCCACCCTCACTCATCCACATCCACTGTCACTCATCCACACGGGACCGCGTTAGCTATGTCGATAAGAGGCTCGCTTTCAAATCCAACTGCGACTCGCTGTAGCCCACGGTCGGTGTTCGAAACCGGGCGGTTCCCGGGTTTCACCCAGCCTCTAGGAAATGGGTACCAGAGTTGACACTCTGGGGTAAATGGAGGAACGTCGCTGTAGCTACAGAGTTACGTGCGAACGGCGACACAGGTGGACAATTTCTTATCAGCTGTCCGTACTGGAGGCAGAGCACTTATGGTTTATAACCGTGTGCAATGACGCTGGTTCACATCTCCCGACTTTACCTTTACCTTTCATCCACATCAATATAAGGCCGGGACATCAGGGCTCGAGTCTCCAGACAACACGCAAGTTGGTTAAGTGGCTCCCCATCACCCAGCCACCCCTTTCCCCCAACGATGTATGTACTTTTTGGTGCTTTCTTTTTAGCCGACTACAAATGACGTCACGGGACAGTCCAATATTTTAGAGGGTGGTAAGAGCGGGTTTTCTGTTTTTTGTGCTTTGGCGCGTTTCTTCCAAGGCCAAGGTTATTGCGCGTTTACCTAACACCTAACAGAAGAATGCTTAGAATTCCTTGGACAGCCAAAAAGAGCAACCAAGAGGTTTTGAAAGAGGCGGGAGCCCGAAGACAACTTATCACGGACATCAGAAGGAGACAGTCATCATTTTTCGGCCATGTTATGAGAAGAGGGAAAATAGAACATGCTGTGACCACTGGAAAGATCTGTGGAAGGAGAGATAGAGGAAGACAACGAGAAAAGATGCTTGACAGTCTTGTTGCATGGCATGGAGGTGTGTCGGCGCACGAACTGATACATGCTGCAGGAGATTGCAGATTATGGAGAGGCCAGTCGGCAAGGCACCTGATGATGATGACCTAACACTAACTCTAACTAAACCGATACGCTTAATCTACCACCCCCTGAAATATCTGACTGTCCGTGACCTGTGAATTTCCCGTTTGAGGTCAGCTAATAAAAAAGTACCAACTCTCCCCCCCCCCTCCCTTCTTTGTCTCCTTTTGTTTGCTTGAAATAAATTATTTATATCTTTCCAGGTGGAAAGTTCCGGTTGTTCGTCCACCTCTGGTTCTTAGATTTGTTCAGGAACCTGAGTGTTGCATGCAAATCCGTTTTTACAGATTTGACTTATTGTAATGCAAATTGTTGGTACTTTGCCCCTAAATAGTCGACTCTTACGACATGCTTGTTGAAGAGGCGGAGGGTCTATTCTTGTTTTTCCCCACAATGAGGCTCTTGAGCCAATATGGGAAGGAGCATATATAATTATTTCTATTACTGTACCCTTAAACAGGACTTGGGCCCTAGAATAATATAAGGGGGAACTGTGCATCCCCTCTCTCCCAAATGTTTTCTTTGCGTCGCCGCGCCAGTACTCAAACTAACACAGATGCAGCAAGCAACTACACATCTGCACACAGCCTACATAAACAACCGGTCCACTTAACACACCTACTGTTACTGAAAAACTGGTAAAGAAAAAAAAAAACAGCCTTAACTTTCACCGACCTCGCACGGGTCGATATCTTCAGGGTGTCAAAAAAAAAACCCGAATACGGGCTGCACATAAAGCTGCCAAGAAGGCAACTACACAGCAAACCAAATGACGATATTTTTATAGTTTTCTCTTGAATATAGCTACATTTAGCACTTGTGTAGGAGGCGTCTGTGGCTTAGGCCTCGTAATGCCGGGGTGCCGGGTTCGATTCTAGCTGCGGACGGTTTGTCTTGCGTTAGATTTTACTGTGGTTCCGAGAGCTGACCGTTGAGGAAGCCATGGCAAACTACTAACGTAAAATTTGCATAGAAAAACCACAAGTGTTTTTCCCCCCATAAATGTGTCCGTCGTCATAATATGTTCTACTTTCCCTCTTCTGTTATAGCATATAGCCAAGGAAGGATGACTGTCTCCATCTGATATTTATGATGAGTTGTCAAAAACAGACTAAAATCATTGCGCCTGTCTTTTCCATTGTAGGCGCTACTTCGGCGAACGGTGGCCCTACTACTAATGCTGCTGTTGCTACTACTACTGCTACTTCTTATGTCGTTGCTACTACTGCTGCTGCGCGACTACTACTGCTAACTTCTGCAGTTGCTACTACTACTGCTGCTGCTGTTATTGTTACTACTGCTGCTGCTATTGCTACTACTCCTACTACTAACTTCTGCCGTTTCTGCTACTGCTGCTGTTGCTACTACTACTGCCGCTGTTACTACTACTACTGCTACTTTCACTGCCGTTGCTACTGCTACTTCTACTACCGTTATTACTGCTTCTGCACCTCCTTCTACCGTTGCTTCTGATGCTGCTGTTGCTACTACTATGCTGCTGCTGCTAATACTACTGCTAACTTCTGCCGTTGCTGCTACTACTACTGATCTTGCTGCTACTTCTACTGCCGTTACTACTACTACTACTACTTCTACTGCCCTTGCTACTACTAATACTACTACTATTACTACTGCCGTTGCTACTTTTACCGCTACTCCTACTGCTGCTGCTGCTACTACTGCTACTTCTACTGCTGTCACTTTATGCTATTACTAGCAATTATAATACAACTACTGCTGCTACTAATGCAGCTCACCCAATGTCCTCCCCATCTGTTCAAGTCCACTCTCTACCTTCCTTCTCCTGGTGTTTTTTTTTTCTACCTTTATTTCTACGCCCCGCAGGTTTCAGAGCAAAACAAATTCTAGTTATATTGTTATCAAACCCGGCTTGCTAGCGTAGTTGGTTAAATCTGACTTCGCAGCGACCGGGTGACGAACTCCGTGTGGTCCGGGTTCATGCCTCGGAGTAGACAGAAAAGAAACATTTTCCCCAGATTTACGATATCTTTCACGGAATCAAGGCCGAAGGGTTGCGATATCCATAGTACCGAGCCAAAGGGTTTCTGGCTACTTTAAAAAAATTGCAATCAGGTTTTCCCAACGTGTGTCCTATCCAAGACCAGCGTATTTTCCACACCCCTCGGTCCACTCTAGCATATTTAGTTCTCTCCCAAATCTATACATTAGTGATTCTATTCTATTATTCCATTTAATTCCCTCTATTCACAGACCAATCAGCTCACGGTACGTGATATGGCCAAACGTCAGGCCGGATGCATCATTTTTTTCCAGGATCTTGTTGGGTAAAAATTTCAGACTGGTCCGCCTGGCAAAGTCGATTTTTGAGAAACATTCCATTAGAGGCGGATTCGAACCAAAAACCCTGATCGGACCCACAGACGAGCGTCTGGCAGCCACGCCACAGCATCTCCCTTTTTAAACAACTGGGAGCGAGGAGTAGGGGGTGGGGGTGGGCTTTGATCTGCACACAGCTTCTTGTTCTTCATGTCCATCTCTGGACTTGTTCTATAACCTCAATGTTGCGTGCACATCCGTTTTACAGATCTTCCTTATTTTTATGCAGACAACCAGACGTTTAGTTCATCGCCTCTCGGGCAGATACACTCCGACTTCTATGGCTCCTACGACATGCTTATTGAGGGAGGCAGTGGGTCTACTCTTGTCCCCCCCCCCCCCCCCAATGGGCCTCTGAACCCTCACGGGCAGTCTAACCAGCATTATCGCTCCCTGGGAAAACCAATTTGCTGGGGCTCCCTGGGAAAACCAATTTGCTGGGGCCCCTTAGAGTAAGTAGAGGACCCTTTTCTCCGCCTTGAGGCGTATTGGGCATATAGGGCTAGAAATATATTTTTTAGGCGAATCGACATCTGGCACGTGACGCCGACCACCTTTACTTCCCATGTCTTTATTTAGTACCCATTTAAGGTTGGGTCCACCTGGGAGCCAAGGCCATAAACAGTCCGGTTCCGTAAGGACCATAACCCACGACCTTCCGATCCGCAGGCGAGAGTTTCACCGCAACATCACGGCGGCTCCCAAATGGTCGATAATGTTAAACATATATATTTATTTTATTAGCACTTCGACATAACTAGTTTAGGGGGAGGGCGATAATTTATGTTTTTTATTACACAAAAAAATAAATTTATTATTAATTTAAACGTCAAATATATTTTTACTGACGGCAAGTCCCTTGATACACAAGGATTAGCATGAGGCCCCTGTGATCGTGCCTCCCCCCCCCCTTACCCAGCAAGTTCCCAAGCGGGCTCCTGCGTTAAGACGACTCTGCTTGCACCGCCCTGGATTTTGTATCGGATCTGTATACTCCGAGAGAAACTTGCTATCGGTAGTGGTCTGTCCTTGTAAACAAAACCAGTGTTCCCGGCTTACATACACAACATCCAATCTAAATTACGAAACCGCACAAAATGAATCCAAGATCATGCTTAAGACATGCATCTCCTCACCTTTTCTTGCGGTCATCTTCTGATGTGGGCGGTTCTGCGTTGCAATATAGTTCGGAATACCGATAGCGATTTCTTCCATTGATCGCTAGGACATTAATCTGCCCGCTTTAGTCTTTCACACAAACAGCGTCTGTTAGTAAATTACGTAACGAACCAGGGTGTAATCCTCCACCCTTAGAGACGAGCTTGAACACGATGGTCGAGTAGATAATCCTTACAGGTCACAGAAAGCAAGTGTTTACTCGAGTCTCCAAAACATTCGACTCCTCGCAACGTGTCCTCGGCCGACGTTCAACCCAGCTCATTCATGACTAAACCAGTCAGAATAACGCCGATTGGCTGGCACGCGTTGATGAGTCATCCCCGGGGCCGGGTCTGGGGATTCCCTTAGTTCCGTGACCTGGGTGCTTCATAGTCACATTTCTACAATTCGTTCCCCGCTAGGATTGCTGTCTGTAGGTTTAACACCTCAAGAATGAGAATCAAACTGGAGCAAACCTTTCAAAGCCTCCTTCAGCACTATAACAGTTATACCGTGGCACTGTAAGGATAACATTGTAACCTGCAGTTCAACGTTGGTGGTGACATGGTGGCACAATCACGTGTCGCCCGGGCTACAATTAACACGTTAACAACGACTGCGCCGGGGTCAGCTATAAATATCTACTATTTAAACGTCTATCTGCAGGCAGAACAAAGACATCTAAAGAATCGCTTTTTTTTTTTTAAATTTTATTTTTTATTTTAGAGCTCCAACCCCGCTGTAGTCGCGGGCCCTAATATAACCTAACATCTGAACGGGGTTTCTTGGATGGGTGATTCTCATCCGAATGGTGACACTTTGTGTCACCAGGTGTTTATCGCTAGTTGTGCGGTCCTGGTCGGGTTGAAAGTCACTCTGCAGAACAAAGAGCTAACGCATCGGTGACCAGGTCGCCCACTAGCCTGCCAGTAGACGACTTCGTCGCCGGTCGAGACCGTATTTAGGTCTGCCTCCTTTCATCGCTCAAAATATGCAAGAGTCCTTTTCATGGCTCTTCGTGGCGTGCAATGCTAAGCCATCTTATATAGCGCACATAACACAGTCACAATTATAACTTATAGCTCCCCTTTCGGGGACGCTGGTTGAACGTGACGAAGCACCCATCACCACCAGCTAATGGGGTCACCGTTGGTGACGGGGGCTGTCTAGACTGGAAATTAACGGCTAGGTGAGTGTGGGTTCTGCATCAGTCGCAGGCGCTACGGAGGCCAGAGCTTACGCTTGCTGCTGTATATGCTGCAAGTTTATCATCCTTCTAATCTCATGCAGGTCTCTCGTGCAGGAGACCTGGGTTCCAAACCTCGATAAGGTTGAGGAAATTTTTTTTTGGAGGAGGGTTGGGATAAAATCCTAAACCCGCACAGTCCATGGCGACAGCACTAATTATGCGACCCTAAATCCTCAGAATCAAAGATCCCCCTGCCTACTCTATAAAACGGTAAATAGTCACCGATGGCTGTTCTGTGTGTGTGCCGGAGTAGCAGTACTTTGACAATATCACAGGTCGCAATGGCGGGAGGGGGGGGGGGGGGGGTAGATGCAGAACATGCTAAATGGGAAGAGGCTGGGGCCGGCCGGCATAAAGGTGGCCACAGGACACTTGACCAGTAAAGTGTGTGTGTATGAGGCAGGGGAGCCGCAGAGGGACCCGAGTCTCTTTTATGGGAGCTGTGATGGGAGCGACGTTCTGCAAAGGAACTGCTAGGTCGGGGTTAGTGTGACCATACGGACCGTTTTCTCTGGGACAGTCTCGTTTTGTAGGTGTTCCCAGGCTCTTTTTCTTCCTCTTCTTCTTCTTCTGGGTAAAGGTAAGTGGACCGACTTCACTGCACCGGGTTTCATCCAAAACGGCTCGGTCTCTCTCCACAGAACAGTTAGTTGCCTACCGAGAGCATCGCACAGAGCACAACCTCTGTAACTCCGGCGACGATAACGGGAATATTCGTAAAAATTGCAATCGTGAACTGAACGACGCCGCTGTGAAGCGAACCACCAACCTTCAGAGAGCGAGGCAAAAGGCTTGACCGCTTCACCACGGAGATCCCCTTCTACTTCTCCCTTTCTAACCCTCAATGGAGCATAGTCCCTCAACCAGCTCACGCCAAGTCGGTTTATCCTTCGATATTGTCCTGTTATTACTGAACAATAAATTTAAAAATCCCGTTTAAAAAAGGACAATCAAGGAACAAGCCTAATAAGAAGAAACTCCACAGGGGAGCATGTACAGCAGGAGTCTATCAATCATCAGTAGAAGTGATCCCTCGTCAACAAATGGTTCGGCCCACGAGCTCCTAGACATTTTCGGAGGGTGGGCCCACCTGAGTTCATAAAGCTCAGGCTTGATCTGCTCCTGCTGCACGTATTACCAAATGTTCTCGGACAGGGACAAGACGAAATTGGTGGTTATGCAATAGGTTCCGTGAGATTCGAAGTTCATTTACATAGTCGCTGTGGTAGCATAATTAGAGCAGTCAGCACACCTGGACGACCGAGTGGCAAGCTTACTGTTGGTTTATCGGACACATGTTAGACTTTGTTGGCAAATTGCCTGAGAATACTGCCAAAACAGCCTTTATTATTCAACTTTTGCGGTGTAAACGGAGAGTGGTCTTGAGTCTGAGGATTTACGGCCTCACAGCTTGTGCTGTCGCCACGGACTTTGCAGGTGAGAATTGTATTTTGCCCACTGACAGAAAAAAAAAATATCCCCAGCTTTATGGCGGATTCGAACCCGGGTCTCCCGCTTGGGAACCCAGCGTTCTAACGGTTCGGCCAGCAAAAAGAACACACACTTACAATAATCTCGTATCATCCCCGCTTGGGAACCCAGCGTTCTAACCGTTCGGCCAGCAAAAAGAACACACACTTACAATAATCTCGTATCATCAGTTTTATAAAAGAAAGAACACGGCGATATAGTGGCATTCGTGGCTTAGACGTTGCGAACGCGTTTCATTAAGGTTAAGACAATGGATCACTATCATGGCACACGGGTAGTAACCCATAAGTGCTCCGTTAAAATACTTCTAACTCATCCCCCGTCCGAAGAATCTCAGCGCAGTGCATGGACTCTGTAGCACCGGCGAAGATCCTGAAATACTTTGGGTAGATTTTTAACTCCAAATTTTGCCCAAGCCGCGCAGTTAGGCTAATATTTTTCGATTTCCAACTGCCGAGCGATTTTTTTTAAAAGTGCCCGAAATTACACACGGGCGTCTGATCTTGATACCAAGAGACCAGGGAAAATTACTAAAATCCACGTAAATCCCAGCCTTCACGGGGGCTTGAACCCGGGACGCCATGCATGGAGACCACACAACCCCAATCTTCGTAATGCTGGGGTGCCGGGTTCGATCCCAGCTGCGGGCCTTGCGCCCTGCGTTGGTTTCGACAGTGGTAACGAGAAGCCGACCGTCTAGAAGCAAAATATATCTTTAAAAAATAGCCACACAAAAAATGACTGGGTTGGTTCTGCAACGTCCTGTAAAGGATACACAACCAACCTTAAAAATATATTACGAACACAGCGAGAGGTGAAAAACGGACAGAGAATCACCAAACAGACACTGAAATGGGACAGATACGGACTGAGGAAACAAGGACGTTCTCCAAGAGAAACCATGAGGCAAACGTTGCTGAGGGGCCAAAGACGTAGGATTGGATTCCACCACGATATATACACAGCATAAAACAAGGTTAGTTGCGTTTCAGTGCAGAACCAACCCCCAATAGCCCCTGGCTGTTGTGTGGTTTTTCATAGTAAATTTACGTCCAGTAGCTTGCCATTGCTTTCTTGACGGTCGGCTTTCTTGATACCACTGTCGAAACTGCCCACATCCCCATTTTCCAGAAAAGGGGAGGGGGGGGGGGTTTCGGCTAAACCTTTTTGAAGTGCTTTAGGTGCTTTCTTTTTGGGCGACCCCCAAATGACGTCACGGGACAGTCCAATATTTTTAGAGGGTGGTAGGAGCTGGTTTTTCTAGTTTTCTGTGCTTTGGTGCGTTTCTTCGAAGGCCAAGGTTTTCGTGCGTTTACCTAAACCTAACTTTAACCCTAACCAAACTTATACGCTTCATCTACCACCCCCTTAAATATATGACAGTCTCGTGACCTGTGGATTTCCCCTGTTTGTGGTAAGCTTTATAATAATAATAACAACAACGTGGTAAAAGGAAAAAAAATAGTTATCTGAAGTAAAGACAAACTTAAACACATACATTGTATACATGATAGTTGGGGGGGGGGGGGGGAAGGTGTGGCCGAACCTCGATTTCAAACTGGCTATCCTCCGAAAAACGGACACTAAAGATGGCGGCCGCAAAATTTCCTTTCGAAGCGCAGTCACGTGTCAATTACGCACTTTCGGCGACTTAATTTGCGGTTTTCCGGCGACTACGGCGTGGACCGAGGCTAAACGAGATGGCTCAGGCCGATCAAGCGGCGCAGCTTCCGCAGGCTCCTGCTAGATTTGCTCGGAGTCACAGCCATCAGCTTCCGCATCTCCTGCAGACTTTGCTCGTGAGCCGCCTAAAACATCTAGTTTAGCCCCGAAATGACGCCGACTCGAAAGGATAGTGAGAGACCGCCATTTTTTTCGGCGGTGGCCCAAACTTTTTAGGGGAACTGTACCCCGCCTCCTTCCCCAACAAATTCTGGGGAGGGGCTAAAGGTGCCCTCTTCTCCCCCCTCCCCCCGGTTCCGGTGCCCCTGACCCACACATACACATGTATAGTTATATATGACATATTCATGAATTACGAGTACTTTTCTGCGAAGTGCCTACCCAATGTTCAATTTCTCGGAAACTAAACAGACACGATGAGCACTTATGGTAACATCCAGGAAGTATTACAACAGGATGAAACGACAGTGAAGAAAGGCTGCAAGGCCATTCATGCATCCGGGTTTCTGTCAGCCCTTTCGGCTGCTACCAACAGGTTTAGATCACCCCATGCGGCTACAACGACTTCATCCTTGATGGTAAAACAACAGCGCAAATCCCAAATACCTGGTTCAACTTTTAAAGAAGTTATAAC